TTCAGATAACAGCACATCTTTCCTGACATTCGTTTTGTCATTGGTCAAGCTCAGGTGTACTTAAGCCAGTGAGCAGTCCTAGAGCCATCTGCACACTCCCCAGGATATGCTCAGTGGATAAGTGTTCTGCATCACCATGCAATTTTGGCCATGAGAGCTAAGACCTGACTCTCTTCAGAGGTGATCGCCTCTAACTCCACAGTGAACTGTGAACTGGCTACTTTATGCAAGGGAAAGGAGACCACCCTCCGAGTTTTTCTTTCCTCTAAAGTTGGCAGTAATTAAGTAGCCATTTCCTCAGCTTTTTGACACAGGAATTGGCCTGGTTGCTCTGCTTTTAATGAAACTGGTGTTGTAATAAAGAAGGATGTCCGTAATAGGGACCTGTATAGACAGGACAGGGCAAAGTCAGAAGAACTTTCCAAATAAAAAGTTCTGGGCAGCCCTGTGATCATTCCCAAGATAGTCTGTGCTATAAGCTGTTGTAAAGGCATCTCAAGTTTTATTATGCCTAACCTGCAGAAGGCCTCTTCCTGGCAATAGCTGTTGGTGCCAGATCTACCAGGAAGCATAGTCTTTTCAGGACTGTTTAGAATTCAGAGGACTTAGTTTTGTTTATTGAAAGTACAGCCCTGGTCTCAGCTGCTTTAAATTTGCCATTTGCTGCAGAATTTGTTAAAAGGGTGGCACTGAGAGAGTAAAAACTCAGACTCATGTTTCTAGGAGTCTTTGATGTGAAAATCATGCTCCAAACACAATGGTAACATAGCAATGGCAACATTTTGTTCTTTAGGAGGCTCACAAATATTGGGGTGTAATTCGGTCTGTTGCTCATCTGCACGGTATAATATTGTGAGCTTAACAAACAAGCACAGTAGAGTTCACTATTACCACTGACAGCAGCAGATTTTGGATTAGGCCACATATGTGCAGGCAGCTCATCCCGAGCACAGAAAAGGCAACACAATTTTATAAAAGCTGGATGAAATAAAGGGAAAATGTAGTGAGTGTGAAATCACAGGAAACTTATTACAATTTTGTCATATGTTGGTAATGAAAACATATTGGGCTAACGCAAATATGCAAATATAGTCGGTGGAGCAGAGTTAATCCCTAAAAAAAGTATTAAATATTTTAAAAAATAATTTTTGGCTCTGTGTTCTGACCATTTGTGTTTGCTTTCCTCAAATATTTTAGCAAACTGGTTTACTCATAGAATTGTTCACATTTTAACCAGATATTCGATAATACTTGCTAAAAATGTATTTTTAGTAAATATTAATAATAATAAATACATACATTTGCTCTAGAAGCCAAGCCACAAAAGTTGTGTGAAGTCTGACCAAAGAACACAAGTAATGGTAGCTGGTGAATACCTCTAATGACAGCTAGCAAGAATATCTTTAATTTTGACTGTCATATACCTGCACTAAGCTTGTTGTTAGAGGGTTGATTATTATAAAAAAAATTTTTTTACCAAACTATTTGGATACATTGGAAGAAATAAGCTATTTGATTCTTACCATATAGAGTGACTATGTGGGAAATAATCAGTTACTAAGGCATATTTAGCTCTGGTCAGAATTAAAGAGGTGGAATATCGCAGCGTATTGAGAAAGCACAGGGAATACAGGAATCTGCTCTGCGTAGGGTGGCGATGGGTGATTCTCCGTCGTTACAAAGCGGGAGCGGGCACGGGAGGAGCGCGGGGAAGGCGAAAGCGGAGCCCGGGCGCAGGCCGCCCTCCCTCCAGGCCGCCTCCGCCCTGGGGGCTTCTCCTCGGACCGGCGGCAGCCCAGGCGCGGCAGGGCGGCGGCGGCGGGTTGCCGGGATACCGGGCCGCGGCTGAGGGCGGCCCCGGCCCCGGCGGCGAGGCAGCCGTGAGGGGGGTCCCCCCTTAGGTCCGTGTCGGGGCCTGCTGGCCTGCTCGGTACCGAAACCGAGACAGCAGTGGCAGCCAGAGGCTCAGCGCGTCCCTGCCCGCCCGGGAACATGTCTGCCAGCGAGCACCTCCCTCGCACGGCAAGGTGAAGGTTTTTCAGCTAGAATGTTGTCAAATGATGGGAAGCAGACAGAGTAACGCAGGCCGCAACTCCCTTCTTGTCCCTACTGGAACCCTGCTGAAAGACAAATAAATAAATTCTGAGTCACATTGTGCCTAATCAGTACCTGAAAGACCAGCAAAAACAAGCCAGCAAGGACCTAGAGGCAGGCGCTGAGATGTGGGCACAGCGGGCCATTGCCTGCTCCGTTAGCCAGAAAACAAACAATGATGGCATGGGTAAAGGGTGAGCCAAATGTTGCAATGGCTGGAGAGCAGCTGTGCCACTGAAAATCCATGAACCGATTTGTTTTTAAACTACTACATGGCAAGAAACGAGATGCTGAGCTTGGCACAAATGGATCCTGGAAAATGTGATTTATGCCTCTCTTTTGACAGAGCTGTTAAAAATACTAACAATATTTGCAATTTTGGAAAAAGTGGTCATTCTGACATGTAGTTTGGAATAGAAAACTAACTTCCAGGTGGTTCTCTGTGCGGACAAATCTGGAGTCAGGTTACTGACCTGCTGCAGAATGTGCTTTTGTTACTGAAAACCAGCTACACTGCAAAGTTTTCAGGAAGTTCACAATGTGGCTAGAGTATTAACTAAAAAGAAATGCCTAAGTAATTGATGGTGGATTTCAGTGAATGAGCCAAAGGAAATGAAACACGGGGTTTCACCATCAGTGGCAAAATATTGCCATGGCAATGGGTAACTTTGCCAGGAATAAACAAACAAGAGGAGGCCTCTTCTCTTTCAGAAAAAAAGTTAAGAGAATTTTCTGTTCTCACCTCACCAAAGTCTGTACCTTCGGACATCTCAGAGGGGAGAAGATGGTGTACTCTACTTGCACAAGTCCCACAAATCCAGCTCCCTTCTCAGTTGTACAGTTAGACCATTTCCACAGCAAGAAGTAACCTTTATACCCAGGGGAAGGCATCAACATTTGCTTTATAATGATTTCAGTGCTTTGGTTACTGTAATTCTGTACCATTTTCTTACAGAAGATGGAATGGCTCAGAAATAACTCAGCTCTGTGTCACTCCTAGTTGAAGTCAATCCTGCTTCAGGAGAGACTGCTGACAGGGAAGATTTTCTTAAGAGCAAAAACATGGATCTGCACTTAAATTAATAAAGAGCATTAAAAAAAAACGCACCGCAGAGAGCAACGGAGCTGAGAAAGCGCGAGCCACCCTTTTCCGCAGGCACGGGTACTTGGCAGGGAGCATGTCGATGCACAGGCACCGGAGTCCTCTCCCAGCAGGGACTTCAGAGGCGGCCCTCTGCCTCTAAAAGCTTTCGGGTTGTTTCTGGTGATGCCCAGAGGCCATCAGAGAATGCAGTCCCACCACCGGGTGTGAGCTCCATGGGTCTCCTCTCAATGCAGGGAGACAGACCTCAGCCACCACCCAGACAAGGATTCAGCAACATGGGGGTCCTGCCTAGTATCCGTACACTAAGTTTCTTGCAGTTCTGCAGGCTGTTGTTCCCCTTTGCTGTCTTGCACCCATAGCATATGAAATTCCTGCTGGGCACCCATATCCAGGTGTGCGTTAGGGCCTGGCTGGCATTGTTCCTGAGAAAGACAGACATGGCCTGGGAGTTGGTCTTGAGATTCATGGCTCATAGGCCAGGGGCAATAGGTCAGAGCCGGGTGGCCATGCAGAGTCAAAGGAGGAGTAACCAGAAGAAGAGAGATCCCCTCATCAGGAGATCAAGTGTCTCCTGGTGAGGACACAGCACCTATGTGAAGGAGCCAATAGTGAGCATGACTATATGAAACTTCTGTACCATTGGGTCAACCCTAGTATGCTTTGTGATCTGTGAAACATAAACGGTGCTACCAGTCTGACGGGTAAGTGTCAAGACCTATTAAAGTTTGCAAAACTCTTCTAATAGCAATCCTATATCAGAAAAATAAATAAATAAATAAATAATCAACCCATATGGCTTTCCAGCTCTTTGGCATTCATTAGTTTTGCCTTACCATTTTTTTTCTGTAACACTTAGGGGCTGCTTAAGTTCCCTATAAAATATTTAATGTAGTTTACTGTAAAGTCTAAAGGCTGAGGACTATATTTTACAGAGTATTGATACTGCACCTAGCACTAATTTCAATTGCAGTCTCTAGGCAGTATTGTAAAGATTCATTATTACCATGAAGATCTGTCCCTATTCTGTCAGTTTTCAAAGAAGGTCCATTCTTAACTACCGGTTTAACATAGCTGGTGTTTAAATAACAATTTTATTTTTTTCCATCAAAAATAATCAAACTAGTCTCCAAGCAAATAAATTTTTTAACTTGGACTTTTAATTAATGTTTTCCATTTTGAATGGTGCTTGATCCACTTTATTTAACCAGCTCAGAAAACATGTAACAAATAAGAATGGTTCTTTTTCTAAAAAAAAAAAAAAAGAAAAATGGAGCTGGGGTTGGGGTTGCATGAGAAAATATTTTGTTTAGGAATGACAGTTGTAGGCATTCTCTCATACATTGTAATATTTTCCATGTGTGGCAGCTTGTTTTTCAGTGGTACAAATATGTGCAATAAAGGCTAAGGATAAAAATTAATCTAACAGCTTTTGCAGCAATGCTTTTGATGGTTTCACTCGATTTCATATTTCTGTGGATACTGCTGTTAGTTCTGCAGCTTGCAATATGTGAAGCATAATTCTCAAAGGTTCACGGGGTTGTAGGGATTCAGTAAGAGATGACTGATTTCTCCCCCCACACACATTCACTCCACCCCACACCCACTCACCCACCCACCAGCAAAACATAATGCTGTACTATTTTTGGTAACAGGGAAAGGGCCTCCCTGTGAAAACAGAAAGCAGTGTATTTCTCAGTTACATCACTTTGCAATCTAATGCTGTGTTGTGCTCAGTGTTTTTGTGGTGATGCAAGTCTTTTTTTTTTTTTTTTTTTCTTTTTTTTTTTTTTTTTCCCTTCAGCCCGTTGGATTTTCCCCATCTTACAGCACCTCGCAGGTCTCTTCTCTGAGCAGTACGTTGCCTGAGTGAGTGGAAACATACAGATCAGCTGCAGGTTTCTGTCTACAAAAACAGAGTGAAAGAGAAAGAAAAGGGTTGGGAAAGCAGAGACAAATATTGACCTGGACTTATAGAAAGACATCCAATGGCTGAATAAAGAACCCCTGTTCATGTTTTGGGATATTCTTTCAACTGGCTGGAACGAGAGCGGATCAAAAGAATGGGAAATGCCAGCAGACCCTTTAGAAGAATTGCTTATTTCTTATGCCTTTTATCTGTGCTTTTGCTGACTGAAGGGAAGAAACCAGTGAAGCCAAAATGTCCTGCCTGGTGTACTTGTACCAAAGATAATGCTTTATGTGAAAATGCCAGATCTATTCCTCGCAGCGTTCCGCCTGATGTTATCTCACTGTAAGGGCTGTAAGCATTTGGTTATTTAATTTATGATTTAAAATGAACTAGGATGTGTGGTGTTTTCAGTGCATACGGAAGGATGCTTGCTGCAGGGAGTACCTCCAGCATTCAGAATCATCAGCTAATGTGTTAAAATTGTGCTGCATTCTTGAATCCTGATTTTCACATCTCTTTCATCTGTCTGTCTGTCTGTCTGTGTATGTGCACACATGCCATTTCATACCTTTTTCTATACTACAAGAAACCTGTAACATTTTTTTTTATTATTTTAACTTCTAGAAATAAATTTCTCTGTGATGACCAGATCAGTATTATAACCATGGATGTATGAGACTACATTAATATAAGGTTGTTTTTTTCTTCTTTCCAGATCCTTTGTGAGATCTGCTTTTACTAAAATCCCAGAAGGGAGTTTTTTGCTCACACCATCTCTGCAGCTTCTGTGAGAAATATTTATATGATACAATTTTTGTTATGAAATGTGTATGCATCCATAAATGTTTTAGAAAGGGTCTCAGTGTTAATTTTATAAGAAACTGCAAGAGAAGATTCATTAGATGACCAAATACAAGACTTTTAAGTAATTTGAAAGATAGTGCATGTGTAATTTTTTTGAAGTGTATCTGCTTAGTATTTTGCAAGGCTATCTGTTGTCAGTGCTACTTTGAATGATTATATACTGAAGCTTTCAGTGACAGAACATATGCTATCTTCATTATACTTTAATTAAAATTAAAGTAGGGACTTGAGCATTGCAACAACTATTCATATTTATTTTCTGCAGTCCTGGGGCCTGATCCCAGTAGAAAGCTGCCCATTTGCAACTCCCATCGACTGTGAGCTCAGAACCCCTCAGATCAGGCCCTTCACTGCAGTGGGACAGGTCCTGAAGTAGTCCTTTTCCATGTAAAATTGCCATTGACTTCTGTGGAAGTTTAGTAACTTCAGTGGGAGTTTTGCCTTCATAGTACCTGGTTTTGACCCTATTTGTTATTTCATGTTCTTTGAAAAAAACCCCACAAAAGTAATGAAGATTTTCTTTCAATTAAAAAATTTAAGCCGTTATTTCAAAATAAAATACTGCTATGAGGTATATGCAGGAAGAGAATATTTTGGGATGTTTAAGTATTAGATGCATTTCGATATAGGATTTTTACAGGCTCCCAGGCTTTCCTAGAAATGTGGGCATGCGATTATATAATTGCAAGCTATACAGAGGTAGAGGGGGTGTAACCTGAACTGTTTATAGTGGATGTGCTGCCAGCCTGACACACACCCAGTTTTGTCTCAGAAACCCAGCAAGACAGACTCCCTGATGTGGTCAAAATCAAAATCAGACACCTGTCCCAGACTGAGTTCCCGAGCACTCTAGGTGTGGTCAGAGGTCTAATGCTGATGTATTGGAACCCTATGGCTGTTAGATTAAACTGCTGGCACACCGAGAGCTGAAGCCCTGACCCTAGCTGTACTCTGCTACCTCAAGTGGAGCTGATAAGGAGGTGCAGATGTACTGTACAATTTTGGATACAGGGTAAATAGGTAAATGCAGTTACTATGGAAACCTAAATGCTTTTCCATGGTGCTTTATTCTGGAGAAGCTTCTCCCAGGTGGTCACAGATCACAAAAGGGACACATTTCATGTAATTTTTGCAACGGGCCTTTCAAAGGAAAGAAAAAAGAAATACCAGCATTGGTGGAGCTTGTATCTGAAGAGAGTGAGTAGGACATCTTCTCTCTTGGCTACGATACACCACCTACACTTAGCGATCCCACTGCCAAGGAGGCAGAACTGGGCAGGGTGGAGTAGGACAGACACAGTCATCTTATTTTGAGTTATTATAGCACCTGGCACAGTGGAGTCTGGCAATGGCTTATGACATTTCAGTAACAGAAATAATTTGCATGGTCTGCTGTACACTGAAAAGCATGTTCTAAGGTGCTGTTAATAAATGCTTCTAAAAAAGCTCTGACCCCAGAAAAGCAGGTTTTGTTCCATTATGGGTTTTGACAAGTGGTCTGTTTTACAGATATATTTCTAACATGGTAGCTGAGCTGCTTGCTATCTTTGAAAAGTCAGGCTGCTGATCTAAGCCAAATGACTCCTTAACATGGACCATAGGAGCAGGATTGTATCTGTGGGGTCAATACTCCAGTTTGTATATGGGAAGGAAAAATTTCCACCTTTGGTAGAAGATAGTAAGGGAAATAAAAGTATGGAAAACTCAGGTTAATTAAAAATTATGCTAAGTTTTAGCTTTGCATGATTATAGCCATATTAGTAGGTTTAATTTAGCCAATAGCAAGATTTAGCAGCCAATATGTATTTCTATGTAATAGTCTCCAGCATTATATTTTTAAAGTCGAAATGGAACTGGTATCTCCAGTATGCCAGCCACACATTTCTGAGTGTGGAATATATCTGCCGCTATTATTATTTACTACTGTTTCTACTGTAGTAGCGGCAATGGTCTCTAGAAAAATCATGGTCTCGTGCTAAACACTACTCATAAGTCCCAGACCAGGGCAGCTTTTCCTCTTGAATAGTGTGGATGGTATGCTCTGTGCTCTTCCTGTGGCAACAAAAATACAAAGGACCTACATGGCTACAGTGAAGTAGCAGCGAGTGTTCCCTAAATGTAGATAAAACCTCCCTGCTCTCATCTCCAGCAGTCACAACTGTGTATCAGCAATGCACTGAGGGTGCCCTTATGAACTGATGACATGAAAGCCCATAGAAGGAAGGGAGGTAGTCATGGCACCAGGATCCGTACCTGCTAGTGGTGTACAGTTCCTGCTAAGCAGTATAGTCCCTAGCTACAGTGCAATATCTTCTGCCTCTGTCCCCAGAAGTAGCTAGCTGGCGGGTCACAGATCAAGCAAATCTGGTGTTTGGGGTCAGAGAGTAGGAGAAAAGTCACTTCAAATACACATGATACAGCCATTGGGGAGAGGTATGAGATGGAAGGCAAATGAGCTCTCCAAGTGCAAGACCTATGCTATAAGCCTGGCAATCTCTAAAATAGCTACACTATTTAAAGAGATACCACCCTGTTCTTTAAATTACAAGGAGGGTAGAATGCAGAAAAGAAAAATTATCAAGTGAAATCACATCAGAAAAGTAAAATTCGTTGCAGGGAGCAGATTTACTAAATTGGTCTTTTGGTTCAGAGATTTTACAAAAACGCTTATTTTCTCTAAGAAAGAGAAGCATTTATTTTTTCTAACAAAAAAGAATTTCCCAATTCTATTTTCATACATATAAAGAAACATATTTCAAGTGGAAAAAGCACAGTCTGCAATAGCGAAGTGAGAAAATAAATCAACTGCAATTTGTTCTTAATGGGAACTTCAAAATAAGAGATTAACTCATTAAGTATATTAATTAATACTTGGAAATCTTTCATTCCTAAGGATGTCATAGCGTAAATCTATTTATCCATCAGGTCAAACTGAATAAAATATAGATGTGCATCTAGTATTCCACTGGGGTAAAGTAAAGTTCATTGTATTTGACAATGCCTCACCATATTAAAAGTGTGGCAGTCCAGAGCTGAATTACAATGGACAAATGCAAACATGGCTGATAAGCATAAATAAAGCTGGAAAAATCAATGCTAGTCCACTTCTAATGCTTACAAAATTACATGAAGTTAAATGTGTTGCTGTTTTTTTTTACTGCTAGATGGATGAAAAATACATGCCCACACTAAGAGCTATCTCCAGCAGGTATAATGTGGTCTTAAAAATAGTTCTGAGTTGAACACTGACTAAATTAAGAGATTTTCCATTTTTTTTCTCAGTAACTTCTCAGTACCCTCAGGTCAAATATGATCACAAGTTTAATTCATAAGTTAGAGGATTTTCCTGCCTGTCAGTGGTGCAAATTCAACCTGATGTCTGGCTAACCAGCAGGATACTTTCCCTATGTTGTCATCAAAAGTAAGTGTTCTTCAAGACAATTTAGACCTCTGTAGTACTTGAACATTTCATTCTTGTCCAAGTATGTTTCCAGTGGCGCTTGTACAATCCCATTGTTTTACTGGCACGATAAACCCATGTTTACATCCCACAGAAGTCAATGGAATTTTATCAGATGGCTCCAGTAGGCAAAGCAATGAGTTGTTGGGTCCTTCCCCTTGCACCAGCCTATGGTGCAATATTATAATCCTGTAGTGCTTGCACAGAAAAAACTGTGAAACCAGGCAGTGGAAATTTGGCCTACCATGGCTTGCTGAACTGTTTTCTAAGGATGCTAATAACTTAATGGTCTTTTGTTTTGCCTCTCTTTACGCAGGTTATTTACATCCAATACTTTTGATGTTATTAGTGATGATGCTTTTATGGGCCTTCCTCATCTAGAATATTTGTGAGTGGACAAAAGTATATTTCCTGGCATGATTGAATAGAGTGGGTGGGCTTCCAAGTTCCAGGCATTGCTTTGACCAGAATGACTTTACGACCCGTTACAGGTTCATAGAGAACAACAGCATTAAGTCAATTTCAAGAAATACTTTCAGAGGACTGAAATCTTTAATTCACCTGTAAGTAAAGTGGTTGAATACATTACTTGGTATATTTAATATAGTAACTGAACCACTGTTGAATTTCACATTTTGATATATAGCTGTTCACATTTCTTTAAGTGGTATTAATAGTCATTTAACTAGAATGTTAATCTTTGTGTTTCCACCAAAGACTTCCAAACTGTGCTATGCGTAGAAGGCCAGGACACAAACAGCTTCCAAGCAGTACGTGTTTGGCAGTAGCTCCATGAAAGAGTAGCAGCTCTTTCTCTGCTCAGAGCACTGGGGATTTCCAGCTGAGCATGTAGGAGCAGGGAGAAAGCAGGATGGGTCAGGAAGCTTAGCACTGACAAAGCAAGTCCCAGTTTGGGACTTGGAGAGGAGGAAGGTGGAGCTGTGGTCAGCACTGAGGTGCCATGGCTGTGAGAGGCTGAGGGGTGGACACACACCTCCTCCTGGGTACCCCAGTCTGGTGTGGATCCAGGAGAGTATTACAGCCATTCCTGGGACGGGCCATCACTATCTGTACCTGTGTCCAATTCAGCCACTAACTGTATCCAGCAGAATTTGGCCAAATCAAATTTTTAAATTCCCACCCAGAACAATTTTAAATAGAAGAGTTGCAACAAAACACATTTATTATGACTTACTGATCCACTTCTTCCACTTAACTGTAGGGCATAGCAGCTTTTAGATTCCAGCAGGATTGGCTCAAAGCCCTGCACTGCACCCTGTCCTCTCCTGCACATGAGCAAGAGCATCCCACAGCGAGATCTGTCACACACTGATACCGAGGTCTGCTTAACATTTCTTGTGTTGCTGCTCAGCCCTTCAACAACCCAGGAAAAACGGCCAACCCTTGCCCTCTGACATACTGCAGCCCCCTTGCTGCGTTAGCTGAGAGGGGAAATCAGTCAAAGGCACTCTGGATGCTAATGCAGCTTTTGGGAGCAACTCTTCCCATGCTCACACCAGTGGAGGCATTTCTCACACTGTGCTCAGCAGGTGAAACGCACACTGTCAACAAATACCTGTAACATTTCACTGCAAACACAAGACTAGCATCCTCATGCTTAGAGCTAGCAAGACAGTTTTTAGACAGGCTTTTGTCTCTTATCTTATACCAAGTTTATCTTTTAGCAATAATTTTATTTTAGCAAGTGATAGATTTATTGAAAATACAGTATGTACTGTAAGAAAACATAACAAATACGAAATTACTGTAAGAAAAGGAGGCTAAAACACCTGGTGTGTGCCTGACATGGGTTTATACTCATCTCTGAGTATTTGCATTCTGAAGCATATATCTTGGGAGGGGTGTCATAGGCAGGGGAGTGGATTCTGACCTTTTGGCCTCAACACAATAACCTCCAAGAGGGTTTTTAAAGAGGGTCATCTAACTTTTTCTTTCATATATTTTGATACAGGAGAGAAAGCAAAGTTTCCACTATAAATAGTTAATGTGTAAATATAATAGTTGAACTGCAATTCACCACATCCTTCACCTCATAGTAAATGTACCATAAAACACTTTACTCTTCCCTTTTTGGTCAGAACAGACAAGAATCATAGCTGGCTGAAACCAAGCCTACTGTGACTACTGGTGTGCATGGCTCTGGGTCTGAGGAAGAAGAAAGAGAGAGGAGAGGGAAAAAGGTATATAAACAGGTTGTGCACATCCCATAAAAATCCATATTAGATGTATAGGCATAATTATAGTATTGTTAAAAAAAGGCAGATAATTGGATAAGGCTGGTAACTGGGACCCTATCTTCAAAATATTTATGCACATGAATAGCTTTATATTCACAAATGGGCCCAGTACATTATTTATCATATTCATTTACTTATTTAGTAGCTGTTGCTGCCAGTGAGCAAATTGCTTTTCTAACACAGAGGAAGGCACAGTTTCTTCTCCACAGAGCATACAGTCCAAGAGTAACATCTTGCCTGTTAACGTTGGTTTCTGGGGATTCTTCAGCAGTTTCATAAGAGAAAACACGAAAAAGATAGAACCACATTTGAGGAGCCAATGTGGTTTGCATGTGCTTGCATGCACATTTTTGGGACACAGACTTGTGCATCATGCTGCTATTGCGCATGGAGTGCTATTCATGAAGACAATGAGAAATTTGCAGAAAATAACTGCAAAGGCAGGTCCATTAACCACAGAATGTGACTAGTTTAATCTGCTTGCAGAACCCCTCCCCACCCTTTGGGGAGAATTGCACATACTCGTTAAGAATAATCATTTGGCACCCTGAGGCATTTCTCATTTAAGAAACAGGAGAGTACTTGTGTACATAAAAATATATTAAAAAGAATCATAGTAAATAAGCATACAAATGACTTCCATGAAGTTAGAGGAGAAGATGAACTTTGTTCTATTTATTCTGTTCACTTCCTTTTCACTACAGAACTTTTGCAATGCAGTAAGCTATCCAAACATTTGTATTTTTGCAATGCAATTAACTGATAATTATAGTGTGTCCTTATTGTAAAACAAAGCCATCTGGTATTTATCGGTATGCAACACAATTTATTTTCTGCTTAGAATAGATTTAAGAACAGAAAAATTAAAGAAAAATAGCATTTCTTTTACTGATTTACTAATTTAATGTCAAAATCTTACAGTTAGGATTGGACAATAATTTCTATGCAAAATATAGAATTTTGATTGCATTTCTTTCAGAACTGTGACCATAAGTTTAACTGCATGTTTGCTTCAACCTTTACTGTCTTATTATAAATCAAAAACCACGTACAGCCCCATCTAGGCAGTGTTTTCTAATATATGCTTTTTAACAGTGGAATATAAAATGCATAATTTTAATCCAAAAATTGGCAAATGTGTAAACCTTGTTTAAATTTTTCTGTCAGTCATATTCCCATGGCAGTGGTGACCACTGCTACTTCCAAGTATATCATCCCTTTCAGTTTGTTATATAATAATATATAAAGAAAATATGGGGCATTGAACCTGCCTCAGCTTGTAAGTCTGCTTAACTTTCTTCATATGAGTTGCCTGACTTTTAAAGAATTGCTCAAGCGTAAAATTGAGCATAAGTGAAGCACATGATACATACACCAATGTTACAATCAGATGTACTTTGAAAGTGGTGAAGTCAGAATGGACTAATGGCATCATCCCATATTTACTATTCCTGATAAGGCAAATGCTTATTTTTAAATGACACAGCAGACCTAGTTTGTCTGTGCCTGTTATTGAATTTAAGTATATGCCTAAGTGGCTTTGCTTGGCTAGAGAATATGTAGTTAATAAATAACTTTTATGTTTACAAGTGAAAACGGAAGAGGTTCTGAGTCCTACTAGCTACAGATTCTAGCTGGGACCTTAAACTAGAATGATTTCTTTCCATTGCCATTTCTTCTCATAAGTAATAAATAATTTTGTTAGTCAAAAGAGGCAGAAGCTGTACCCTACATTATTCTTTTCCTGTCATGCCTTTAGTGACATCTTGGAGAACCCAGACCTTTGGTGGACTCACACAGACATGTTTGACTGAAATGTAATATATTGCTTGTTCAAAGCCTGTTCACATTTCCTTGTCACTTTTACTAGCTAGAATACTCACTGAATTTAAATGAGTTCTCCCAACATTAAAAATTGGGAATTGACAGCAGTTTTTTGATGTTCTCTCTCACACACACATGCACATTCCAGGAAAGAAATTCATGCTGATCAGCAATTTCTTGTCTATTACTGCACATTCCCAAAAACTATGAGCTACACCTAAGTCCAACAAAATGAAACCTAGTATTAATGTCTTCCTTCCAGAAGATATACAAGAATGTGGGGAAATTGCAGCAATATGAACACCATGTATTGATATCATAATGAAAACATCAGTAGATCAAATCATGACTGATTATTTTAAAATAATGGTGCTGGCAAAACAACAGAGGTGATTGCATCTTTTACCCTGCTAAGTGAAGTGTTGTAAATGCTGCAAGGCTGCTGAAAAGTGAGAAAGCAGGAGGCATGGCTTTTTAGTGTAAGAAAAAGTCACAAAGTAAACAAGCTCTTCTTAAAAGCAATCTTTTAGAACTAAGTGCTGGAGAATACCAGGGTTCTTTAGCTTAAGAAAAAACCCCCACACAGCATTACACCTTGCAAAACTGTGTAATTTCATGAACTACCACTGATATTGAAGTGTCTTCTTTTACAGGAGTCTCGCAAATAATAATCTCCAATCGCTTCCAAAAGACATATTCAAAGGCTTGGATTCTTTAACAAATGTGTAAGAAAGCAATTAATTAATATATTAATTATACTAAAAATATAAAGAGATTATTTTAGAGGACATTCTAAGTAACCATTCAAACCGATAGCCAGCAATGGGATCTTACTACTGTGTAGAGACTACCCAATATGGGTAGGCTTGGTTTTTGTTTACTGTTGTTGATAATTTGCTTTAATTTTGAACATTCTACCAGTTGTGAAGATAAGTAATACTGTTAGTAATTATGCAAGATAGCTGCATGTTCATTAAGACTTAGTGAATAAGAAGGAAGTATCCTTAGGGATGCATGAGAGAACATGGCATGAGTGGAGGGTGGAAGATAATTAATGGAGTAACATTTCTATGTGCAAATAATTTCTGGGAAGGCTATCTTTCATCACAAAAGCATGTGTCTTAGAAAGTACCACATCCCATATTAAACCTAATTGCAATCAAACCAAAACATGAACTTGTTTAAATATATAACTTAAATACCAGTAAATTACAAAATATAGATAAACAGATAAATCTTATAGTTGCTTCACTGGAATATGTGCTGTTTACAACATATCAAGTTCTGGTTTACCTGATTTCAGATAATGAGCGCAAAATTTCCTTTGCCTGCTCCTAGTATTAATAAGGTAGGCTGAATTTATAGTGTAGAGCTGCAGTAGTACGATGTGGAGATGGTCAGGGTGTCTGGTAGCCTTACCTGGCACGAGTGATTACGGCCGGGTGGTTACACAGTCTGGTGCTGGCCCGTGCCTGTTCCTGTACATAAAATCTGAAATCTGACCGAAGACAGCTGTAAAAGACTTGAACAGAACCCCTTTGCTTATGTCTCCTAAAGCCCTAAATAAGTATATCTAAAGGAGATAGCAAATACTGACTGGCTGACCATCAGGTTATGTTCATTCCAGTTTTGTTATCTAGAATGCTGTTATTGAGAAAGGGTAATCGAAAAGAAAAAAACTCCCAAAATATGGGGCCAACAGTTTGGTAGGCTTTTGTGTACCCGCAAACTTGGAGAAATCAATAACAATTTCTTACTGACCATCAAGTTAAGTTCTCCTTGTTTACCCTAACATAATTAAATCTGTGTGGGTTCCAGTATGTAGATTTAACTATGGGTCAGGACAAATGAAGCCAGGAAAGCATCAATTAAGAATAAGCAAGAGGGCACATATTTGACAAGAGCCCAGTTTGTTCTTGTCCTGCAAGGAGGAATAAATCAGCTGACTACTTATTTTCAATGCATGATTTATTTGTTGTAGAGATCTTCGAGGCAATGCATTTAATTGTGACTGCAAACTGAAGTGGTTAGTGGAATGGCTGGCCAGCACCAATGCAACAGTTGAAGACATTTACTGTGAAAGTCCACCAGAATATAAGAAGCGCAAAATCAATAGCCTCTCTCCGAAAGAATTTGATTGCATTATTACAGGTAATGTGCTTCAGATTATTTAATCTTGTTAAATTAAAGTCAAAGCTATATATTTTTTTATTCTAGGGACCATTTTTGCAGGAAGTCTGCATACTGGATGGAACTTCCACTAAAATCAGTATGAATTCTGTGCAGGTGTAAGTCTGACATGCAAATCACTTGGGAGTGAGGTCTTATATTCCAGCTTCTATTCAGACTTTAATATGTTATATAAGGATTTGGAGAACTAAGACATAAAACCGCACCTCTTTTAATTGAGGAAGATTGACAAACAAGTTGCAGTACTCCTTTATCAACAGGAAAATTGGACTAGTGATTAAATACTGTAATTTGTAATAAATTGGTATCTGTTAAGCAGATGTTTTTTCAGTACAGTACGGAAAGTATCTCTATAATTACCATATGTTGTGTGCACTTTTGCAGAATTTGAAGTTTATCAGACCCTGCCTTACCAATCTCTGTCAGTAGATACTTTCTCATACATGAATGATGAACATGTGGTTATTGCTCAGCCTTTTACTGGAAAATGCATCTTTCTTGAATGGGACCATGTAGAAGTGATGTTCAGGAATTATGACAACATTACAGGTATGAACACAGCTCGATAAATAACATTACATCAGCTGATCCAAAAAGTGGTGCTAACCCTGTCTTTTACTTTTCTTTTTATAGGTACTTCAACTGTTGTGTGTAAACCTATAGTTATTGAGAGTCAGCTGTATGTCATTGTCGCACAGCTGTTTGGAGGCTCCCACATATATAAAAGAGATATTTTTGCTAATAAGTTTATAAAAATTCAAGATATTGAAATCCTTAAAATCCGAAAACCCAATGACATTGAAACTTTCAGGATTGCTGAAGACTGGTATTTTGTTGTTGCAGACAGTTCAAAGGCTGGTTTCACCACGGTTTACAAATGGAATGGGAATGGATTTTATTCCCATCAGTCTCTGCACGCCTGGTACAGAGATACTGATGTGGAGTATCTTGAAATATCTGGCAAACCACATTTAATTCTGTCAAGTAGTTCCCAAAGACCTGTAATATATCAGTGGAACAAAGGAACAAATGAATTTGTTAAGCGTTTTGATATCCAAGATATGGAAGATGCATATGCAGTGAAACATTTCAAAGTGAAAGAGGATGTATACATTTGCTTAACAAGATTTATTGGGGACTCTAAAGTAATGAAGTGGGGTGGTTCAGCATTTCTGGATTTACAAAGGATGCCATCCCGAGGGTCAATGGTATTCCAACCGCTTCAGATAAGTAATTATCAATATGCCATCCTTGGAAGTGATTATTCTTTCACTCAAGTCTATTATTGGGATGCTGAAAAGGCAAAATTTGTGAAGTTTCAAGAATTAAACGTACAGGCACCAAGATCTTTCATACATGTCTCCATCGATAAACGAGATTTTCTCTTTGCTTCAAGTTTTAAGGGAACTACATTGATTTATAAACATGTCATAGTTGACTTAAGCGCATGACACTCATAATTCTGAGATTACATCAGACTTTCTACCATAAGTGGACAAAATGAACTAAATGCATGATGACTCTCTTATCTTACTTCCAGATGAATGCCTTTAAAAGTTGAGATTGCTAGAACAAAGTATTACTAGTATCTTCATCTTTAATTGTCAAGTCTAGTGGTGTTGGAAGTTGCATTTTTTAACAAAAAGAAATTAAATTAACTGTTCTTTGCATCCACAATATGTAAATACGTGTGCAACTGCATCTGTTGCTATAAAGAATATTAAGATGTACTTTTCCATTTATTTATTCACCTGTTTGAAACAACTGCCAAATAAAATGTTTACATTTTGTGTCTTTCACATTCCAAATATTAATTTCAGGTGATACTTTTTATTTGTGTATATATTATACACACATAAAATAAACCCGAGAAGGCATATTGCCCAGTGCAGTCTTGTACTGCATGGAAGATCAGGTTGGTTTTACATATAACAAGAAGTTCTTGATAAAAATACAGCATTGAACACCAACCCTATAAATTATCACCTGGACATATCTTTACATTTATGCAAAGCTTTGCTGATTTAAACAGGAATCAACTGAGAAAAAAGCATTCAGTTATATAGATCCCGTTGTAGGATAGAAGGTTCAGTTATATAGATCCAGTTGTAGGATGGGGCTTTGTACTGTGTATAGCTGGAAGTACTTGATTTTCTAAATATTTACAAAGAAATCAACAGAATAAAAGATGATGTAAAGGTCTGTCTTTCTCCACCTCATGCAGAAGCAGCACAAAACAAATCTCTGATATAATACCGGGGCTGTTAACTGTGCTGAAAGCTAGAAGCACAGCTTATTTTTCAGCTAGCATCATTCCTGTATCTGAATTGTCACACATCACTTGCATGAATTTTATGTGTCCCTGTCAAGTCTTTCCACAACAATTGCAATTATTTAATCTGCAATTAATTTATTGATTTTTCTGAATTAATCTACTGAATGTGAAGTAATTTTTTTTTTTTCCACTATCCTGCAATGAAGTTTAGTAACAGGTACTTCTGAAATTCAGGGAACTTTGAATATGGCAGGACAAATTCAGTTGGTGTAGCACATGCAACTCCAGGAAAGCTACTTCTATCTGTTAAATTATGCCAAGTCTGAATTTGGCATAAAAATCTATTACGAACTCAATGTTAAAATAGTTTTTGTTTACTTACATCTAGTGCATCACTTGTGAGAAACCTATACTGCTGCTGAAGATCATTTGGTGCGGCTCAGGAAGAGAGCTCAAGTTGATTTTAGACACCTTTGCACTTCACTAGAAGTTATCAAGCCTTGTGCTCCAGTGCCATCTTTAAAATATACACATGAATACTATCTACATTTATACACATTTCTAACATTCACAGATGTTGACTGGCAAATAAGACTTATCATACAATGCACGTCAGCTAATCACACAAGCCAATTCTGCAAGCTGGCTGCTCCCTGTACTCACAGAGACCCCCAAATCAGCAGAGCATTATGGTGCTGCTGAAAGCACCTGCAGCAGAAAAATAATCATCATGAAAAAAGACGTATAATGTATATTTTAAGAAGCCAGTCCTAAACAGTATGCTTCTGTAATAAAAAAATTTTGGTTTTTTATATTAAATGTTATTTGAAAAGAAGAAAAAAAAAAAAACAGGTGAACAATACTACTTTAGTAAGTGATTTTTTCTGATACCTTTTTATCCATAGCTACCTATACTCTGATCAGTATTTGGCTTAATAACTACCTATTTCTTAAGTATTTACAGCGTGACTAAAAAGATTTTAAACTATGTTTCACAGTTGAAATTTTTCCTTAATAAATATATTTCCAAAAATCATCTTGATACATCATCACTTGCTTGGCATGTTTCATTTATAAATTTTTAGCTTTTACACGAGCATGATTTCAAACCCCAGATGAACCCAAATAATCTCTTATTATTTCTCAATGTTGGCTGCACATCTGTGACTGCCAGCTCAGTTTGTCCATCTCTTCTTCAATCTACCTTGCATGGCAAAGGAATGAAATGGGAAGTCATGAACCAGTTTCCAATCTACCAGCAAATCATGAAGTGTTTTCTACTTCATCTTGTCTTTTGTTTTGGTCTTTTACTTAAGGTCCTATTGAATTATGTGCACTGACTTTGATCTGATTTCTGCCATTATACTTGCCGACATGCACTCTCTATCAAATTACATGGATAACGGCTATGTATCCTTGTTATGGACATATTATGGACATCTGGCTGAGTTTAAATGGAATTGGATAATCTTGCTAATCTGCTAGCAACATTTATTTACAAACACTATACCCCAATACATTGCCTCACAATTGTACCTGGGGAAGGTTGTGTTTCATGGAATTACATTTCAGAGCCAGCCAGCTACATGCCCTGTTCTGTAGTAGTGCTATGATTGTTTTCCTGACTTAACTTATTCTGAAATCGTATGACAGACTTACGGGAATTCATTGTTACTCCTGGGTTCAAGGATGAGTTTAGAAGCCTGCAAAGGTGTGAGTCACTAGAATTTCACATTCATAATACCTGTAAAACTAGCCACAGTACAGTGGATGGTGGTAAGGGATTAACTGCTGGATTAATCTGCTGAAGTACACAACTGTGTTACCAGTTTGGTTGTTCCTTCAGGAAATTCTACCTGTAGCCAAGCACTAATGATTTGGGGAGTTCTTAATGTCTATGTCATTTTTAGAAGGTCAACTAATCACAATAAAGTGCTGAATCTAAATCTGTTCTCTTTTAAAATTCTCATTCTCTAGTCAATTTATTTCAGGTGGAGATTCACAGCAACTATAGCCGGTTTCTTAGTGTGCAAGTATAGCATATAATTTCATCACATAAGGAATTGGGGTATTTTTAGAACAGAACTCATAATCCTTAACGTAGCAGAGCATAAAGGCTCATTAGGTGGCTCCCTGTGCTGTTTCTTCCTAATTTCAGAGACTGGACATTTTAATAGCTGCTCTGAGCATAAAACCATATTCCATCCTGGTTCTCTGCTCAGTATTCCTTCTGGTATCAGTGGAAGTGCCAGAAGAAAACTAAAACAGAACTTTTTATCATATATATATTGATACTTTTTTTAAACGTTTTTTAAAAATATCCATTTCTTTCAGCAAAGTCTATGTTACTTGTGGCTGACTGGTTGTCTTCTGTGGTTGTAATGGATTTTCTAAACTTCCCAATCATTTCATTTATGACTGACGGAGTATGTAAAGTACTAAAAGTATTACAGAAGACAGTATTGAAGGTTATTAATGGATACTGCTAATCCTTGATACTTCTTAGTCATGTTAATGTCTAAGACAGAAAAAACTGTTAATGGAATTGTATTTTATTCCTACAACTACATTATATTTTTAATGGAGCACAAATATAAAAGAATATATACTTCTCTACGCTGGAAGGGATATATAAATTACATCCAGAATACCTGATATTACACAGTGTGTAGCTTTTTTTTCTTTGTCTGTTGTAATGTCTAGGACTTGCAGGTTTTTTGGTTTTACTTATTTTCCATTGAAAAAATATTCCAAAATGTATTCTTCCTATTAAGAAGAAAATTCAGTAAGGAAAAATCTTGTTCTGCAAGGTAACAGAACAAAGAGAAATAGGGACAAATTGTATTATTGTTTTGGAGTTGCATTTTAATTATAACTTCTCTTAATTATCTTATTTTTATTTTTTAACTTTATTTGAAGGGGTGATAACAGCCATTCGAAGTACACTTGAGAATGGGAAACCATTGTTAGCATAGTTAATAATATGTGTGATATGCTTTGATATGTTCTAGCAGGAAGCTAAATGTCAGCTGTATTTATGTATATGAACATTACGATATATTGTGTTAGTATTCAATGGAAAATAAAAAATATTTAAACCATAGAAGTAACAAACAGTCTTCAGACTGCTGATGAACACTACTGACAATAGCATCAAGAGAAAGCAGAGAAGTCACCATGCCCAAAATGTTACAACTAGGGACAGAACAGAACTCCACAGCAAGTCTCAAGAGTCCTGGTGTCTTCCCTTTCAAGGAAATACTCTCCTTACCATGAAACACATAATGTGTTTGTCCTCATCAGGGACCCCTGGAAAAACAGATGATCACTCAGTTCTTGCAAAAGACAGCAAGAGGCTTACAAACTCAATGGGCTACACCCATGATCTCAATTTGTGGCAATTTTTCCTTTTGACATTTCTCTGTTACATCGATCTCAACAGTGGTGACACAAATGGAGCAGTAAGCAGGCTACTGCCCACCAAAAAGGCCAGGGCTGGACAGAAATTAAGCCTGCAGATGGAAAATGCAAACCCAAACACTCAGTTCAGTTAGCTGTTAATGCCTCCCCCCTGCCTAGCTGTTTTTTGTTCTGGTTTGCTCATATGCATTGCAAACACTTGCAGCTACCTTTCATACCTGCTGATCTGGAGACCTGAGTGTGGTAGTAAAGCCGTGATTTAGACTCCTATTGATTAGAATGGCTAAACATCATTTTGTGGTCATGAGCTAACTGATAAATGTTGAGGTTTTGGGGAGTTGGATTCCTCAAGACCAAGCTGCAGTATGCTGCCTGACCTACTGCTGATAGCAACTTTTCTTCATAACTGGTGACTCTGAATTCTAATGGCTGGTGTTACAGGCATGTCTCTGTTTATAGTTCACTTAAACAAAATACTCAGAGGCCAACCTAACCCTATTCCTATTCAGGAATTTTCCTGAAATGAACTATAGCTACAAAGACCTCCAGTGTGCTATACAGAAGTGGTGTTCTATTTGTGCTTTGAGACTTAGAATTTCTCCAATTAGTTATGCTAGTGTAATACTTCTGTCTTCAAATTTGTTACAGTAGAAAGCAATTTTCCCCCAAATATGCATATTTATATTCATATAATTGTTTATTTATTCTCCAAATAAACTAAAGTGGATGATGGCAATAATTACGTTACTGTTCCAAATCTCCCATTTGTCAAATCAATTTTTGAATTCTCAAAAGTTGTTTTCAACTCAGCCTTACTTTACGCTTCCTACTGAATTATTTCAATTGAAAAAAGACTTTCTGACCCATTCTCACTTTCTGTTCGAAGGCCTGGATAGCGACAGCAGTATGTTAGCAAGTTGTCAACCTGCCCAGATGGTGAATATCCAAGAATGCTGAAAGAGCTTCAGAATAAACAGGCTGATCTGCTAAGAATACACAGTCCTTCATTAAAAACCATTTATGTGCAAAAGAACTGGAAGTAACAAATATCGTGTCTATTTTTATAAGAAGTTCATGGGATAATCAGCGGATCCACAGTGATATCTGGTCAAATATCTGAAATGATAATTGAAAATGGAAGTGTAAAATTTCACAAGAAAGTAGGTAACTAAACAAGTGGGACAGGCTGATGAGTGAAGTTCAGCATCCAGAAATGCAAAATATTATACAAAGGAAAGAAATGCTCATAAGGTTTAAAATTAGCAGTAAAGAAAGGCAACTTGACATTGCTGTGAATAACTCAGCAAGACACTGATCTCAATATACAGCTACAGGAAAAAGCAAATAATGTTACAACATGTGCAGGATAGCAGGGAGAATACAACACTACATGTTATGGCAAATGCTCTTGCCTCATCTGAGATACTGCATGCAGTATTGATGCAGCCATCTCAAAAACCAGACTGCAGAGTGACTGCAAAATGCAGATGTTGAGAACAATAACGTTCAGAAAACAGTCAAACATGGACAAATTACATAAAAAATTGATTTATCTTTTTTTAGTACTTAAAATAATTTCTAATTATTAGGAAAGAGAAGGTTCTTTGCACTTCTGTCAGAAGCATCTGGCTCTAGACATTTTGCACAAGAGGACAGCCAAGCAGCTGGATAATGCATGTGCTCCTGTGTGGCATTTGCTATTTTCAGTCCTTGAGACACATTGCTCAGGAATTAGCTCAACTTTGTTGCTGAGACTCACAAAATAAAATACATAAGATGTACATATGAATTAGCTGTTCAGAAGCATTTACAATACTGAGAACATGAACACTGAAAAAATCTGGAAGATACTGGCAACATATATTTTGAGGATGTCAACAATTAGAAAATTTTGGCAAACTATCTGCAAGCACTTGAAAATGTAATTGCACAACTTTGGCTGGCTTCAGCTATGTAAGTCCTGACAGCCATAGACTCCCTTGGGAAGAGCAGAACTCAGACTTTTTATAAGTTTATTATTAAGAGTTGAATATTAGAGCTGTAGAAATATTAGTTGAAAAGTACCTTGCAGTTAACCAGGTAATAGTATTGCCCTGTGAGGGAGTAATTTCTAAAACACAAGAACAGATCACCAATTTTGGCAAAAAAAAAACCAAACAAACAGAGAAATAAACAACCTGAATTTTCACAATTTCCAAATAACTGTGAAATTTGAAACCCCTATCCTGCTTGCTTTTGTCCTCCATATACAATAACATACTGATACTGCCCATTCAGGAAAAACACCGGTAAATACGTTGCTCCAGAGTGCAAAACAAAGGAAGAAAAAGGACAAAGCTGGAACAGAAACAATAGTTTGTGATCAGGAAATCTGTTTGGTTTTGGACAGTTTAATTGCACCTGTGAATGCCTAAATTTTCTGATAGAACATTACCGAAAAGAGAACATCCTTTTAATGTTTGTCTTTGAAGGCACCGGCTACCTGGATTATAAACTGCAAACATCAGTAAAAATCCACTGCTTTCAAATAATCCATATGAGCTGACATTCTCTGGCACTAGTCCAGTCTTAAACCCTATCTCTAATTTTCCTTAGCAGTATTTGAGATAATAGTAACTCCTTCAAACAAAACTCACTTCAAGGCTGAGGCCAAGAAATAATATCTGATACAGCAGCTGTTAGGAAAGTTCTGCCTTTTTATACTGGGTGCTGGAGTACATCAAAATCCAACAGCAGTACAATAATCATACTGTATTAGCTTGAACCAAATAGGAAATGAATGTTTGTTCCAGAATTACAACTAATTTCAGGATTTCTGTAAAGTTATTTTGAGAGCAGTGACACTATCAAAAGGATCTAAGAATAAGAGAAAAGGAAGCTAATTTCAACTGCTTCTCAAAAAATCCTACTAGTGGGGTGGTTGTGACTGTTGTCTAGAAGTATGCATAAATGTAACTAGGTAAAATTGCAAAATAATCAGTTAATTCAATGGCATGAACTGTGAAGTGGACCTGGCAAGACTATTACAAATAAACTATGCTACACTGACATCACTGTATACAACCAGAGCTTTCTTAAGACAGTAAATTGCAGAGTTCTGTTTCCCTGTCTGGGAGTACCTTGTAGCCCTCCCTGTGCCTGTGCAAGGAACAGGCAGCCCAGAACCTGCTCTTGGAAGAAGGGAACAAGCTCCATGTGTGCCTCAACGGTGACAATTTCCTTAAGTACAGCCCCAGACTGGAGGCACTCCTCCCAGAGACAAGGACTACTCAGCAGGGTCTTGAGGATGCCAGCTCTTGCATTTCAGAACATTCCCAGTTGTGCTGGTATTTCAGAGGGAGCAATCAGTTTGCGTGTGTCATCAAACCCAAGCTCGCTTAGTGTCCACTTGCTGTGGAGCCAGGAACAGATTGCAGAGATCAGCACGCTCTGCCAAAGCTTGGTCAGCCCATTCCTGAGGGGCTGCCATACTGGCACTGTTAGCAGGATCTGAGCTAGCTGAGGTTACAGGGACATAAAAATAACC